TCGACTTGATGATGGTGGATTATTAACAACAAGAACAAGGAAAATCTCCCCAGATCCCTGGCTAAGCCTGCATCTCTTATCGCCCCCCATGGGTTAATAAATTCCCCCATGGGGAAAGCTGCCACCAAGAGATTAGTATTTATTTTTTATTTTATTTTATTATTTATTTATTTATTTATTTATTTTTAAAAGATTTTTATTTATTTATTTGGCAGACAGATCACAAGCAGGCAGAGAGAGGAGGAAGCAGGCTCCCTGCTGAGCAGAGAGCCTGATGCGGGGCTCAATCCCAGGACCCTGGGATCAGGGCCTGAGCTGAAGGCAGAGGCTTTAACCCACTGAGCCACCCAGGCGTCCCGAGATTAGCATTTTTTAAAAAAGACATTATTTATTTGAGAGAGAGAGATGAGCATGAGCAAGGGGAGTGGGAGAGGGAGAAGCAAACTCCCTGCTGAGTATGGAGCCCTGCTCGGGGCTCAATCCCAGGACCCCAGGATCATGACCTGAGCTGAAGGCAGATGCTTAACTGACTGAGTCACGGGGGCGCCCTCAGATTAGTATTTTGCAAGGTGTTCAAGGAGCCTTAGCTTTGAAGATGTTTCAAGGACAAACGTTGAAAAGAGCTTTGGAAAATCCTGCATTAACACTCCCCTCTCTTGGAGACTCACAAACTGCATTCACATGCAAAGAGATCTGAAAAGTTTCATAGGAGAAACTTGAATTTTCTTTTAACTTTTTCAACCACAGAATCCACCCCCCTCCACAGGCCTCCTCCCATCATTACTCAGAACGAATATTCTCTGCATTTCACTGTGACATGACGCCAGCTCAAGAAACCACCTGCAGCAGACTCTCTGTATGGACCTAGCACAATCAACCCGTGCGGTTGTTGAGGATTACATGTACCCTGGGTTATCTAGCCGGTATGTCCAAACTTGGTGTCATTTAAATAGCTCTCTCTTGAGGAAGACTTTAAGCCCATTAAAGAGTGAAAATAATCCATGGCATGAATAGAAGCGTTTTACATCTGTGAGAAAACCCACAGTCCAAGAGTCAAGTTAACTCACACCCACAGAGTGTACTCTGTGCAGACATGGTGCAGACACGCATTCTCTGGGCCAGACGCAGCCTTATAAGGTGGCCTGACATTTTCTCATGGCCCAGGCCACCCTCCAAAAATATCCAGAGACAGAAGAAGAGTGGGAACGGACCTCCCCAAACATTTCAAAGATTAACAAGCAGGCTCTCCATTAAACAGGAGCGCTAACACCTGCTTTCTGACCAGCTCCTGAAAGCCCTCCAGGGTCCGTGCTGGGGAGGGTTCTGCAGTGGGAGGAGAGTAAATAGATGGGGCTTCAAAACACACATCCAAGCCTTCCTTGCCCAAAAAAACAGTGTTATTTCCTAGACCCTTCCAGAATATGCCTTAAGGTCTGACTGCCTTTGCTTTATATGGACAATAGAGACCCGGGACTAATTTCCATTCCTGCGCCTTTCAATCCCTTCGGGGTCCTGGGGCTGAAGCCGGTTCCAAATACCCGATCGCTTGTGAGGTGCTGCCCCCTTGCGGGGGCGCGACGCTACAACAACGCAGAAACGGAGGCCTTCCGCCAAGGGCGGTATCTGGAAGTGCCATCTAGACTGCATCCACGAAGGTCAAAGATAGACGTGAAAGTGCGGCTGTGCTAGTAAGTCTACGCTCTGGAACTAGTGAACAGAAAACACAACTTTCATACATAAAGAGATTTATGAAATGGATACTAGGTGCTTAGATACACAGCCTTTCTCATTTTATTTTTACTCATTTTATTTTACTCATCATCGAATGGGACTTCTTAGGGTGAACTGCCTTTTCTGGGGGGAAAAAGATGACTTTTGGTAATGAGACCTGCGCCAGTAACACTAAGGAGTAGCTTTCTAAATTTGAAAACAAAAAAGACTAAATAGTCGCTCAGATTTAAAAGGAAGTGTTGGTCAAAGACCCGTGCAGCTCTCTTGTAACTCTGGTTCTCAGTTGCAGGCAGGGAAATGTTCATAGGTCTGGCTATTTTTGGTAGGAGTTGCTTAGAACAGTTTCTTCACCACTAAACTGTATGACAATGAGCCAGTCCATTTGTAACACTGGGATTTTTTTTTTTTAATAATATGAAAAATTGCAAAGCTAGTCTTCATTCTTGTTAAAGGAAACAGAACACAGTGGTATTTTTGGAACACTGTGTGTAACAGTAGGTCTCTTAATTATACCAATGGTAATTCCTCAGGCTAGAGCTTATTAACATAGTACACATAATTGCCACAAAATATGACAAAGACAAATTAGAAAGCACTGGTTTCCCACTACCACCCTGAGATTGTAGAGGTTGTATTTTCTGGAAAGCCTCTACTATTAACTCTACCATCTGTTCCTCAGCTTTAGTTGAAATGATTCTTTTCATAAATGAACTGCCTAGCTCTGAAACAGACCAGACCGTGCGAGAGGAGTGCTTCTGGGATTACTGTGCTGGTCATGTCTAAGCCGCAATCAGACAGCAGGTAGAAAGCTCCCTTCGGAATGAGGACCACAGCCTTGGACAATGGAGATGGTTAGCTCTGAGAAAGCCTCAGTCAACCTGACAGTAAACGTGTTAACTGCTGGCCGCACATGAGAAAGATCACTCAGGGATCACCCGCTAGACAATGCCCACACCACGGACCCATCGGCGCTTTCATTTTGAGGTGAAGAGATCTGGGGTCTAGAACTTGTAGGACGGAAGTGGCTGGGCGGGGTGTATCCTGTCCGTCTCCCTCCCACCACTGCCTACGTGAACTTGAGAGTGAGTAAAGCGGTTCCTAGAATTGGCTCTGTATTTGGAGGTATTTTCAGGAGGTATTTGACTACATCTTGTTTCAGTATGAGATGAACATTGCCAAGCAACAGTATTTTCCTTCTTAACTTATATTAGAAAAGTTAGATTAAAAGAAATTGTAAAAAACAACAACCCAAAACATTGTTGAGAAGGACCTCAATCGTTTACTGACTTTCTTAGACTTTCTCGTGCCTTCTGTGAGTAATCCCACTTGTCCCCTCTGTGGCCAGGCTGAGAGGGGTAAGCTTGAAGACTGACTGGCAGGAAGAATGACTTTTTGGAAAACTCTTAATATATTCTGGCTATTTCTCCTGTGTAAGTACATTATAAATAGCAGAGATAAATTTTAACCTATCAAAGAAAGAACTGGAATCCACGACAAAACTGAAACTCTCCCATATTCCAATACCACATTCAGGCCAACTTCATGTGAAAAATCACTAGACCTGCTTACTGGTTAGTATTTCAAATCCAGGCAGAGCACACAGTTTATTTTGAAATGCAACACAGATCAGTATTTTATGAATACAACTTATTACTACATTAACATTATCAGGTAAAAACAGCTTCCAAATGCATGCATAGAAAGTTAGGTATAGTCTTTGAACTCCTTATTTCTAAATATACAAAAAATACATTTAAATTATATAATTTTAGTGAATCAAAGACTTATAAAATTACAATTTTGGTTTTCACAACATAGAAAAAATACAAAAATTGACTATATATATATGGTCGTATAATTTCTTACCCAAATTTCAAAGGAGCAGTATGTACTGGTTTTGATGTTTTATAATGTTTTATCTAGAAACTCAGAACTGAAAATAATTTGTAGGTTGTACCACATCAGTGCCAATCATTTGTTATAAATGAATAATCCAAACAAACCAGTAGAAACAAGGGCACCATCTTCATAGGCCTCTTTATCTCTACCTCTTCTAAACCCTTCCTGTGGGAAGTTCGCTCCAAAGGAACTGACTTTATCTGGAAGGACAGTGCTTTACTCCATGACTAACTCTCCACGGTGCCTCTGATAATGGTGAGTACGTGTTAAATGAGTGATCCCAACCTGAGCAAACAGAACGCAGCGAGATGCAGATTGGCAGCTTGTGTCTACAAAGCACGACTGTGTAACTCAAAGAATTCTCTGCCGGAAGGCAGTCCCCAAAGTGGGGGGATCTGAAACACCCACCAAGGTGGGCGGCGGGGCCGAGGATGTCTTTGACCGCGTCTTGAAATGAAAACAGCAAGTCTGACAAAACACCCACCAGACACCGCCTTCCTCATTCACACTTTATAAGATGTGACAGTTGGTAGGGTTAGATGTTCTCCATTCGTAAAAGAACACCGCTATGTCAAAGGAGAAATTAATTCACGGCAGGGATAAAGCGGCCAGTTACCGAGAGAGGTGGATGAAGGACACGGCCGTGTGCATGCCTTACTTATCTGCCGTGAGCATTTTAAATGTCGCTGGACAAAAATACACAGTGGGGTGGAGACCCTTCATGAGGAGGGAGTTGCTTGCTGTGTTCTCGCTGCCCAAGTTCAATTTGATGCAACACCACTGTCTGGGACACTGTTCATCAACAGTGACAATTTATAACACACAGAGGCCCAAATACAACCCCCAATCCAGCGATCCTGGAAAACCTACATTTGTCTTCCCATCTTCTATAACTATTCCAGAAATGACTGAGAAAAATCTTACCCAAACTAAGCAGTAAGACTAATATAACTCAAATTGTTTCTATTTTACAGTAGAAATACATTCTGGAAAGAGAAAAAGAAAAAAACATGAAAAATAATCTTTCCTCTATATTTAGTTTATGCAGTATAAGAACAGATCCTAATCTCCCCATGCCCAAGTTAAGAGTGCTGACTTAAAGAAGAATTTTAATGTTCAATTCAAAAATGATTTTATTACACATCTGCCTGCATTAAATTTTAGGCTCCATACTTTCTTCTCAACTTCCTTTTAATGATCAGGCTTCTATGAAAATAACATTGAAAAAATTAGTTTTCCATTATGACACTCTTCAGATATTAGCAATTATATTTTAAATAACTATTCAGTAAGCTAGTAAGCTAGGTATTTAAAAATTTAAAGATCAACGGCTTATAAAAAAGGGAGAAAAGAATCCACAAAGAACATTCTGTGTTTAAAATTTAATGCACATCTGAACTTGGGCTTTACATTTTCATCAGCTCTCTCTTGAAGAGCCTTAAATGCACAGTTGAGCAATTAAATGGTATGAAAACAGGACAGTAATTAGACAAGGTCCACATGACTCAAGTATTTCTTAGCCCCAACACATGGAGATGATACTGCTTTTAGCTCATGTCTGCCCGACTGGAACACTTCACCACTCTGGACTTACAGCTTGGTGGGAATTACACAGGACCATAATTAGGCAAAGTATCCTAACAGAAGAGTTGAATGAAATCTAAAAATAAAGTAATAAGGGTGTAGAAACCTATTCCTAAATGTTCTTCAGGTCTGTATTTCTAAAGTAACACCTTCCATGTGCTTTCAATTACAGACTCTCTACCCCTTATGTGACTTGCCTGGCTTTGGGTCCCTAAGGGAGAAGAGCTATGGGTAAATACATTACTCAGAGGCGTTCTGAGAGGGACACAGTGAAAGGTACTTGTCATTTACCAGCGAGTGAGCCTTCCCTTTCTGAGAACTGTCACTGGGTTAAAATATGATCGAGACTGAGCCCTAGATAAGATAGGTTCTCTATGAAGTACGCATACTTAATAAATTCAAGCATGTTCCTCAGTGGCAGGCAGTAATGACTCAACTGAAAACAAACAAAAGTGTTCTAGTTGTTTTCCGGTTACAGGTACTACCCCAAAGCTTCACAGACATATACGTGGTATAATTCATTCACTAGGTAGGAGGGGATAGGTCCCAGCCAGAACTTCATAACATTCAAGAGAACACAGTTTGCCACTTCAAAAATACGGTTTCCAGCATGCAGTCAAGCACTTTGGAAAGGGAATGCGAAACACACTGCAGACCGGAACGGAACTCTACTGTGAGGTGGGCATTTGGTGGGTACAACTTCCTTACTCCGACTGTAACTCCCAGGTAGTTAGTGTTACAGATCTTTACTAATCACATACAGGGAGGAAACAGGCAGCTCTAAAATGGCCAGATCCCCTTCCAGCACCTTCAGAAATACTGGGAACGTCTGGTTCAAAGAGCATGCTGGAATGGACCGGTCAGGATGTTTTACGTAAGAGTTGTTGTGGTTGTTGTTGCTGTCGCTGTTGTTTTAAATAAAATCCCAGGCCTGTGTGACACTGGATTTTGGTTTTTATTTTTTTAATATTTTTAAAAATAGTTCTTACTTATTTTCTATGAAACGTATTGGGAACTCAAAAAGTCTGCAGCATTTTTTGTCATTGAAAAGTTTGTTTTTTGGGGGTACGCAGGAAGCAGGAGTTAGTCAAATTTCTTGTGTTCTTCAGTATGAGAAAGGACCTTTCTTCTCTGGTGTATCATGTGGAAGTATAACTGGGGAAAAACTGAAAGAAAAGAAAGAACTGGTTAAGGAGACAGGTCACTTGAAACTGTGTGCTCTGTTTAAAGCACATGGGACTTGGGGTCCTCTTTGACTCTACTTTCTCATCCAGCAACCAAAGAAGGGAATTCGGTGGGCTTGGGTAAGGGGAGGAAAAATGCACAGGGACTTACCTTTCCCTGCTTTAGCTGAAGGGGAAGGGTGGTCCTGACTGGACTGACACACAGTACCATCACTCTCATTATCCACTGAGATACCACAGAGTCGTCAAATGACACTCCACCCTCCCTCACAGTATCTTCACATTTATTCTGATTTTACCAGTAGGTGAATTCTAGTGACAGACTTACTATTCCTGTTTACAGAGGAGGAATTCAAGCCCCAGAGAGGGAAGGTAACTTGCTTGAGGTTTCCCAGCAAATTCCTGAAAATCAGGACCAGGCTCTGGGTTCTTGACACTCCTAAGAACCCCAGTCCCTTCTGTCATCTGAGGGGATTCTCCTGAAAGCACTTCCGAGAAAGGTTGTTCTTTGAGTGGGAAGACTGAGGAGGGGTTAGAGGGCCATGACATTTTAACTGAACACGAAGAAGCCAAGTTTGGATGGAGAAAGTCCTTATGAAAAGTAAGCTAATATCTTAGGCACTAGAGATCCTGTTCTTGGTCATTTCTTTTTTTCCATCCTTAAAGATTTTATTTATCTTAGAGAGAGAAAGAGCAAGGGTGGGCACAACCAAGTGGGGAGAAGGGGAACGGAGAGGGAGAAAGAAACTGAAGCAGGCTCTACTCTCAGCACGGGTCCTGAGTGCTACTCCATTTCTTGACCCCGAGCTCAGGACCTGAGCCAAAAACCAAGAGTCAGACCCTTAACTGACTGAGCCATCCGGATGCCCCTGTTCTTGGTCATTTCATAAGTTACTTTAAAAAGTACTGGTTCCCAAAGAAACAGGGTGGTACCACCTCCCTAGGAGGATCTGGAAGCTGCGGAGAGGGAAGATTTGGAGGAGGGAGGCTACTGGCATTTAACACAGGAAGCAGGAATGCCAAAATCTGTGGAGGGTGACAGTCTCCCACAACTAAGAACTGTCCTACCCCAAATGCCTACAGGATTCCTGCTGGGAAATGCCATCTGAAGCTACCTGGCCTTCACAAGGTTACTGTGAACTGGCAGTTCAACACCCATGGAAAAAACCCCAGTGAGATGGTCTTAAATGTGTACTATCCTGCCTTCTCTTCTCCACAGCTCCAATTTCCATTTTGTAGAAAGTAACCTGTATTTCTGGGGAGGTAATTGCTACTATTCCCCTGATAGTTTCTTCCTTTTATTTTTTTTAAAACCCAAACCCACGACCCTGAGATAAGAACTGAGACAAAATCAGGAGTCGGATGCCTAACTGACTGAGCGCCCCAGGTGCCCCAACAGTTTCTTCCTTTTTCAATGGGTTCCAAGTTGGCCAAATTTCCAATGATCCTCCCCAAATCCTCCAAGACATCAGTAGGCACGCACACACAGATCTGATAAACTGCAGGGGAGGCTCCGACGCTGAATAGGGCTGCCATCCACTCCACTCGCTATCTGTAGGCAGGAAGTTATTCAGAGAAAAGACCCAACTTGTGCATATAATTCAACAGGGGAGAGAACTATTCTGGTACGAAAGCCAGAAAATTTGACAAGCTCTATAATCTAAAAACTGGAAGTAAAGATATAATTAAACCATAAGGAATGCTAATTGCAATCATTTAAAAATATGGGGCCAGTCATATTTCTGTAGATATACTTTACTAAAGGGAAAATTTGTGGCAAAATACAGTAAGGACTTTTCCACCGGTTGCAGGGGTGGCTAAAGCTTGCCTGCTAGTTCAGAGGGTCTGAGGAAGGATGACCTAGAAAACGTTCACCAGACGTTTTGGCAGTTAAAGCAAGATGGTGGAGTATCCTCATCCCCATAGGCATGGGTCTGCTGGCTAGTCAGAGGTCCGAAATGGAGGGCAGATATGGCCCTTTCAATTCTTTTTTTTTAAGATTTTATTTTTATTTATTTGACAGAGAGAGATCACAAGTAGACAGAAAGGCAGACAGAGTGAGAGGAGGGGAAGCAGGCTCCCTGCTGAGCAGAGAGCCCGATGCAGGGCTCGATTCCAGGATCCTGAGATCATGACCTGGGCCGAAGGGAGAGGCTTAACCCACTGAGCCACCCAGGCGTCCTGGCCCTTTCAATTCTTTACAGTTTCAGAGGTTTCTCAGTGCCCAAGCAAAGGAATGTGTGTGGGGGAGGCCAGGAGAATGGGGGCAGCTGGGCCAGAGGTTCTCTCTCTATAGTTCTACTAATGACTTCTTGGTGACCAGAACTTGGGTGATACTATCTCCATCTGAATTACCCACTTTTTTTTTTTTTTTTAAGATTTTATTTATTTATTTGACAGAGACAGCGAGGGAGGAAACACAAGCAGGGGGAGTGGGAGAGGGAGAAGTAGGCTTCCTACAGAGCAGGAAGTCCCTACGCAGGGCTCGATCCTAGAACCCTGGGATCATGACCTGAGCTGAAGGCAGTTGTTTAACGACTGAGCCACCCACGTGCCCCAAATTATCCACATATTTAGACTGGACCCAACTGTAATGGCTGAAACAATTCCAAATGCATGGCTATTCTTTTTAACCATAGACGATAATGAAGAAAAACCCCAAGACAATCTCAACCTGACAACAGGCTATTCTGAATTCTACCTTCTGCTTTCCTAGTCAGACACATGGAATAGAGATGGTCACTGTGCATGCAAGAGTTGTGGAGGGGAAAGGGTTTCCTCTAGGGAGAGGAAAACTTGGGAGGCTGAGAGCAAATGGAAATGCTCTGCCTCGGGGAAGTTTTTTCTTGGTCTCTCTAAAAATCTGAGGTGTGGTTATGGTTACTGACAACCTGGACAGCGCCCAGCTTCCCAGTGTCCTCACCCTCCACCACTGTTTCTCATTTCTCAGCTTTTATTTATTTATTTTTTAAATTCCCACTCCTATTGGGTGGTAAAAGCCAAACCTTTACCAGTTTGGGGGGGGGGGGGCAGGAAATGTAGATAGGACTTAGACGTCTACCGAGTCCTATAGGTATTGTACACACTGCAGCTGCAGCAAAGTGGGAAAGGAGTGCCTTGCAGGGATCCCAAAGCACCCTGATATGAGAAAACTCCCGGGGCCATGGCTCATGGGCCACAGTCTGGGCCACATGTGCAACAGTGCAACAACTGGTCAGGACTGTAAAGAAAGGGTGTTACTTCGTATAATACGTGTATATCACCAACTTCGCATTAAAGAAGACTAAAAGAAACTTAAGTTGTAAAAAGAAAACCAAATTTGATAAAGAAAACTGGATGTCAAAAGCAACCCCTCTTAACTCTGCATTTTCTTCTTACAAATACAAAGTTTTGGAAAGCTGGAAATGTGCTGCTGGCTGTAATGAACTGTACAAATTGGTCTCAATATGAACAACCAAAGCAACTAAAAACAGGCAGGGCAACTGGCTCAGGCCAAAGGCATAATGAGTGCCAGCAGACACGATTTGTAGCAGAAGATACGGTCCCAGCGGTCATCCTGAGCCTGGGTGCGGGGTCAGGGACTGGGAGAAAATCTGTTCATCTTTACTTGAAATCAACCCTTTTTCTTGGACTACAGGAGTTAAACTACCTTAAGAAAGAAATAATATAGACTTTAACTAAGCCAAGTTCTTACCAAAAGGAGTCTGGGAACCAAAGAACGGGAAGGAACCAAGGTAAAGAAAGCCAACTTTGGTTGAGAGCCCCGCCTACTCTGAGTTTTCTTTCCTTTCTCCATCTGAATGCCCAGAAGGAAAATCCCACAGAATGGGATTTATTTTCCTTCAGGAATCCTGTCACTAGGGAGGGCTGCTGTGCTTGACCAGGCCCCTTAACTAGATCAAGGGGTCAGGAAGAAAGAGGCAACAACAGCCTGGGCGCTGGCGAGCCACCAGAGAACAAAAAACCTTGGAGGTACAGAAAGACTGAGGCTGTCCTGGAGAGCTGCTCCAGGACCCTCCTTTGGCACACCAAGATCTTAGAGCAACTCCGAGGTAGGGGCCCCAGATTTCTGTCAACGTGGCAGCATCCTGCTCTTGTTTGATTTCACACCCTTCCTGCTCCTTTTCCAGTTATTCAATCTGGCATCTCTTATTCATTCAAATCTTATGCTGATTTTATTTTATTTTATGAAAGATTTTATTTGAGGGGGCAGGGGGAGAGCGAGAAACAGGCTTCCTGCTGAGTGTGAAGCCCACCGTGGAATTCGATCCCAGGAACCCAGGCTTATGACCTGAGGTGAAGTCAAGACACTTAACGGACTGAGCCACCCAGGCGCCCCCTTATGCTGACTTTTAATAAATCCTGTGGTGCCCACTGGGATAATATGTCACTCTGGGTTTGGCAAAACTCCAAGTAGGAACTGTTGCTCCAGAGACTAGAAAGTGAAACTCTAAGGGAATAAAACTAAAAAGATGAACAACTGGAAGCTAATCTTTATTAAATTTTTAGACTCTTCCCTATTTATGTTTTCTGTGAAAATCAACTACCTTTTTCAATTTGAAGAGAAAAGGACTTTGGCCACCATGGTTCCAACACCAAAGAGGAGAACTTGATAATTAATAAAGAGTGGAAAATGAACCATTAAGCAGAACTGCTGTCCAAGAATTTTTCCAAGATAAATGCTCACATGAAATCTGGATGTAGTTTTTTTCTCACAATGCATGAAATGCAATTTTCCACAGAGGGACACAAACATGTCGCTTACGATTTTTAGGATGATTCATTCAGCTCATGCTGTGGGCTGAAGAAAAATCCAACCGTCCTGTCTGAATTTAACCTGAGGTTTATGGAAGAAGATAGCATCTTATAGACTAAAATAAGAATCACAGTCTCAATGGCTACAGAAATAGCTAACTGAGAAGAAACCCTAACTTCCTACGTCCTTGGGTAAAACAAAATCCTTTTGTTTACATGAAAATCAGTCCTAGGATTTTAAGTGAATATCTGAATTCGAGAAAAGGACTAAACAGCTCTTCCTCAGCAAATAGGACTCACTTCACAGAAGCCTCAGACACGGCCATTTCTCCTTGGTACCGAGTACACTGATAGGCACTTTTGATTATCCATATTTAAACTTTTAGCAGTACTATTAAAATAACTGGAAACTGTTCTGAAGAAAACATTATGTCCTGGTCAGATGATTTTAGTGCTTACTTCCAAACAAGAAAATAAGAAATACAGAAGAAAAATAACCTGTTTTTATTATTTCTTTCTAATTAGCTGCTGATTCCTTAAAAATGAAGTGTCTATTTTGATATAATGAAAATGCAAAAATCTCTTTACAATGTTTTCCAAATACCCTAAGAAGTAGTTCTCCAGAGACAGAAAAAGTCAAGCCTTTTTGTTTGGCACTCAGTACATCCCCCCCAATAGGTAGTTCACCTTTCCTGGTGTTCAGTGTTTCAAACCCACACATGCAGAAGGGCTGCATTTTGGCAGCTGTACTGAGAAGGGTTCATCTTTATTCAATTACTACTAGAGAAAATCCCCTCTGACGGCATTCAATAAAAACCAAAGCGTTCCTAATAAATTAGATTTATATACACTTGGACATGGTATAAAAACATTCAAAGACATTTGGCTCTAATTACTGTAGAGCCAAGTTTAAAAACATAAATAAATGTATGCATAACTGTTTACTTACTTGGAATGTAGGAGATCATTATCAGAATGAGGAATGCATAATAGTCAAAGGAAAAATTATATTTGTTGGGCAGACTGATGGAGTATAGGCCAGCCTGTCGGACAAAGGGCAAAGCAGCATATATTGTAAGCAGTTCTCCCGACACTCCCATTGGGTACAGCACAATGAAAAGTGTGTACCTAAAACAAAACAAAATATTCATGACTGAGGCTCGAAGCCAGCATTAGTAGAAAGATGCATTCACACCTCTCTGATCAGTACTGGTCTTTCAGGAAGCTACTGTTTCTACATTTTCCTGTTTAACCACTGTTTGTTTCTTTCTTTTTAAAGCACGTTCCATGTCCAACATGGGGCTTGAACTCATGACCTATGCTCTACCGACTGAGCCAGCCAGATGCCCCTGTTTACCCATGGTTTAAATTCAGGTTTTACAAGCCAGTTTTTGAAAAGGGCCAATAGCAGGTATGTCTCTGAATTCCAAAATAAAATAAATGTCTTTGGTCAGCCTCAAAATTTGGTCTAACTAAATAAACAACATCCAATACAACTCCCTAAGATAATAAAGAGGATGCCAATCATTGGTAAAGGAGGGGCACCGAGTCATGGTTTATAGAAGGGTCCTGCCCTGTGGCAGGGGTGGGAGTGGGGGTGGGGGGTTTGCAGGGAGTTGGTGGGGGAGGTGTTGGAGCACGTGTCCATGAACCCCTACAAAGCACACCACATTTGGTCTGTGGACTGAGAAGGATAGCACAGCGAGTGTGCTTCTACAGCTACCACTAGTCAAATGTCTATACATACCATTGTGAAAAAGGAAATACATGCCAATTTTAAAAACCTTAAAAAATTCACAATAGGTTTTAGTCATTATGTAATTTTTCAATAATAAAAACCCTTACAATAACTATCACATAGGAGAATCCAAACCATTTTTTTTCACTTCAAAAAGGAGTTCTCTATGTTTTAAAAAGAATGCAGAGAAGAGTTCATCCTATGGAACTAACTATCATTCTGGGGTGTAAGTATTGCTGAAGAAACCATCAGCTCAAATTTTAAAGGGGCTCTGGCTGTTTGTGGCTGACAGTGAGCAAATTTCTAGGCACAGAAGTTGCGCTGAGAAATCAGTGACAAAAAGCAGAAGCCATGTTTGCTGTGTTCCCCGCTGCCAACTTCAACTATGCTAGAGAGGAAGGGTCTTCCATAGGCTGTGGACAACCATGGACAAAAGAATCATTCTCCACTGTTAAGATCAGGGATTGGCCAGCAAACTCTCCCTGTAACAGAGCAGACAGCTCCCACAATGCCTGCCCAGGTTGGTGAGTTACTAACTGCCATCTCTTCCCATTCTTCCCTTTTCCTAATAAAAGTATGCACTGGGAAAATGAAAAAAAAAAAAAAAAAAAAAAAAAAAAGGAGTTTACACACTTGAAATGTTGGAAGCAATTGGTTTATGTCTCTAACTAAATCATCAAACTCCTAAGTTGTCTAGGAACCACCATTTTCCTTCTAGGAAATGAGACATTTGGGGCCCAAGAACAATTCTGATCCTTTTGTTTTGTCACTATCCCTATAGTCCACTCCAACTCAGAAAACTGCTCACAACTATTTCATGAATTAGCTCAGACAAAGAGATGAACTGTCAGCCTTTTTCCCAATTAATAACAAATATTACTGGTAAAAATTATCAAAGCCAAATAAAATTGCTAACAAGATAAAAGTGCATGTAACATTGGTTATTAATTAAAAATTAAGAGTCAGAGCTTGTTGGCAAAACTGAGATTAGGAGAATTGGACTTGGTCCAAAAAACATAATGGCAGGAGCTCATCAATAAAATTTGCTATGAACAAAAAAGGAATGTTACATCAAATCTCTATTGAATAATTTAAATGAAAATAATCGATCCAATAAAAATAACAAGGATATCAAACTTAAAACAGTGTTTCTATTAATCAAAGTTAAGTAGCATCCCTTATCCTGATGAAATTCACAGACCAGTCTCATATCACCAATCCCAACTCTTGTCTCATACAATTAGAAAAAAAAAAAAAAAAATATATATATATATATAGTTGACATCATACAACTTTATTTTTAGGAGCTTGGAGGGCAATATTTAGCAATAAAGGACAAATACACAAATACAGTGATGGGTCATTTCAAAAGTTATTCTTCATCCCATGTACTTTACCTGGCCCATTTGATGAGGTAAGGCAGATGGTTTAATAGACTGAAAGTATAAAAGGAGTAACGGATAATTTCTGTCATTGTCCAGGCAATAACATACAGGAGGACACTGTCTTCACTCTGCACCTGAAGGAAAAGGAAGACAAAAGCAAAAGCAAACACATAAAACATTTTAAGAAAGAAGCACTCCCAGTGTGCAGCGCCAGCCCCCTGCTCCCTTGCAGAGCCGAGCGGTTAAGCAAGTGGACACAGCCCTGGTCTGATCACCTGTGGCCACAGGCCAGGGGGAGCTTGCCACATACAGGAACACGTGCCTATGACAGCAATCGTGTAGAGCCATGTAATTAGGGGCAAGTAAGAAGAAGAACTCAGCTTACTCATGAGTCAGAGAGGCAGAAACAGGAATTCCATGAGCTACAGGCCACAGGAAAAAACACAGATCAGTGAGTTTTGTTTTTGGGCCTCCTGTGGAGAATGTGGACTGGTGTTAGTGGGAGCCAAGACTAGTTAAAGAAGGTAGAAGGGCAAATTGGTAGGAAGCTTGGGGACTGTCTATCAATAAGAATTTTAATTTGATTTGTATGACAACTAAGAATCTAAGGAAACTTCAAAGAAGGGGAATGTAGTGATTGAAACGCAACTGAGACAAGGCTCATTCACTAGGCAGGATGAATTCCAAGTGAGCAAAGAGCCAGAGACCACCTGAAAGGCAAGGACCATTTATTCTCTCCCACTGTGACTTCTTTCCCCAGATGAAGCCCGGTTTAACCTAAAAATTAAAGAAGCTTCCATGCTGACCACCAGAGGTGGCTAAAGCCAGAAGGGCTCTGGACTTTCCAAATTCCTCTGAATCACTTTAATGCTGAAAATGCAATGAACTTTAAAACAGCAACCCCTCCCTCCCCCTGCCCCCGGTGGTTTTTGGGGGCCATTCTCACTAGATGCCTTGGACTGCAAATCTCACATGGAAATGTACCTCAGCTGCCCTGGCATTTGCTTTCAGTGTCTCCACCAGCCCCCCAACCAGGTTTATAATGATCCTGGGTCCAGGCTTGAAGACCAGTAACAAGAAACTACCTTGCAACCAATTCACTCACGTTTTCTTGTATCTGAAACAGGCAGTTAGAGAGCTGGATGTGACTGAGAAATTCTACTGAGTGAACCGAACAGATTGACAAGATGGATCTGTCTCATTCCTAATGCCTAATACAACAAAGGTACAACACTCTAACTTTAACTTTTCTTCTTTGCATTTGCAACGTGAATAGTTTTTAACACTTACATTCTTCCTCAGAAAGTGTACATGGAGCGATCCACCTACACAATAAAATAACTAGTCATTTACATACCTATTAACTAAATTGCTCTGACAAAGAATTTCATAAATGCATAGTTACTAATCCCTAAAAATAATAAGAATTTTAAATTGTCAAGAGCAAGAGTACTTCTTGTTTTCCTGGTGCTCTCATATTAGCCAAAGTAAAACCCAAACACCTCTGAAGCTTTTATGTTTCATTTTTCAGTCTGTCCCCAAATCCTTGCTTAAAACCCATCTATATCAAAACATAATTTCAGAGCACATTTTGCTTTTTGATGTATTTTATAATCCTCTTCATCTTGAGGTGTGTTTTACAGTTATGGGATGAAGCCTTGCTTACAGATCTCTGGGTTGTAATAGAAAGTTCTTCCAATATTTTGCATTCTAAACACCTTGGGAGCAGGGAGTGTGTTTTATTCATCTTCTGATTCCCAAAAGCACTTTGTGCTTTTTACAAGTAGGAGCTCAATAAATGTTTGTGGAACAAACAAATTCAATTCGCATCAGGTCACCCTAAGACTAAATTCCTGCTTTTGATACCTGATATTAGTTTCTGTGTAGTCTTAAGCGGCCTTCAGAAAGACAAGTAACAAACCCCCCTCAAACCTTGCACTTTGGTCCAGCCTAATCAGACTCATTTCCCCCAACACCCAAGTTAGACTTGAACCAAAAGAACTATAAAAGCTCAGACTCAGGCTGAATTTGTGAAAGCAGCTGCTTCCAGAGCCCAGCTGTGAAGGCCAAGTTATAATTTTAAAAAGACAGAATGGGGGAAATGGCCATTTTATAAATGGTATCTTCAGATCAATAGGAAATACAACACTGTTATTAAGAAGGGACTTGGAAAGGGGTGCCTGGATGGCTCAGTCAGTTAAGCATCCAACTCTTGATTTCAGCTCAGGTCTTAATCTCAGGGTCATGAGTTCAAGCCCCACACTGGGTTCCACACTGGGTGTGGAGCCTCCTTGAACAACAAAAACAAGGGACTTGGGTAAAAGTTGGAGATCAAGCTCATCTGATTTGCAGATAATTACCCAATGACACAAAACAGGGGCAGAATGTAATGAGCTGAAGCTAGTAAGATCAGTGAGACTCAAATGTATATTTGTACACCTGTGTTCACAGGAGTGTTATTCACAACAGCCTAAAGGTGGAAACAGCCGAAATGCACATCAACAGATGAATCCGTAAACAAAATGTTGTGTGTATGTGTGTGTGTGTGTGTGTGTGTATGCAAAGGAATATTAGCCTTAAAAAGTAAAGGAATTCTGACACATGCTACAACATGGATGAACCCTGAACACAATCTGCTTAGTGAAGTAAGCTGGTCACAAAAGGATAAATACTATACAATCTCACTCCTACATTACCCAGAGTAGTCAAATTCAGGGAGACAGGAAGCAGAAGCAGAAGGTTGCCAGGGGCTGGAGGGTGGGAGGAAATAGGGAATAGTGTTTAATGGGTATAGAGTTTTGCTTTGGGAAGATGAAAAATGCTCTGGAGACAGAGGGTGGTGATGACTGTACAACTATGGGAATGTACTTACTGCCCCTGAACATACACTTAAAAATGGCTACAATGGCAAATTTTGTTATCTGTGTTTTACCACAATAAAAAACCCAGGAAGATAAAATTTAACAAGGTTAACTGCAAATTATATATGATTCAGCAACAACAAAATGATTCCAGTACAGAATGGGGAAGACCTAGCTTATGACTCCTAGAGATGAGTTTCTGGTGAACTACAACTTTATCCGTGCCAACAGCATGCAGGTGTTTGTTTAGATGACCGACAGACTGACCAAGCAACCTACCAGTATTTGGCCACATTAACAGTCTCATCCCAATGATTCCACTCCAAGTGGATTAGATCCCACTCAGGGACTGAAGCAGGTTATAAGAACCCCTGAACTAGCAAGTTTACTATGGACAAGAAGAGGGTAAATACTTCAAAATATGTAAATGAATGTTGTGTGCAAGAGGCATACGGACACGGGACTAATGGCAGACTTAACAGGAGTAGAATACGTGGTCCGAAATAAGAACCCGGCAACAAACCAGATGACTAACAAAATAGGCCACTGCATGAACCCGTGTGCTCCCAGACCCTGGACACAGGCGAAGTGAGACTGCTCAGGAGAAAGCACTGTGAAGGGTGGAAGGCTGCCCTGGACAGTGGCCGCCGAGGGCTTTCAGCTGCTGCTGTTTGGAGACGGGTGTGCTTATAACTTGTATGTGGGAAAGGCACGAAACTCTGGCTGAAAGGAACTTCCTTGCATAAGTGGAAATTTTTTGGTTGGAAAAAAAAAATGGGTAGAGCCTTTAAATAGTACTTCTTAAAAATAATTTTCCTTTATCAAAGAAGATGAGAGAAGAGAGAATAACTTTAAGACCTCTCTGTTATTGCCTGCTGACAGTATACCACAGGCATAGTTCCCTGGCGCTCCACTCCCTGACCATAAGGTCTTCAGGGCTCCTGGGTTCCTCCTGGCTGGCTCTCTTGGCCTGACATGGGTTTGCACACAAGGCATGTGTGGAGTCTGTGCCCCTTAACTTGAATGATACCTTCTATTTACTTTTCTTTCTTTCCTTTTTTTTTTTTTTTTTTTTTAAAGCAGGAGTCGGAAACATTTTTCAAACAAGTGGGGAGCTTCCTTTCTATTAAGGGCCAGTGACTCACAGAAAAAGGATCAATGGGGCTTTAAAAAAAAAAAAAAAAAAAAAAAGAGGAAGAAAAACTAGCCAGTTTAGCCTTGGAAGGGCTAAGGCCTAGGATTATAAAAAGCTCAACCCAGGGGCACCCAGGTGGCTCAGCCAGTTAAATGTTTGGCTCAGCTCATGATCTCAGGGTCCCGTGATCACACCCCTTGAGATGAACCCTCACATGGGACTTCCTGCTCCAGCTTCCTGCTCAGCGGGAAGCCTGTTTCTCCCTCTGCCCTTTCCCCACTTTCCGTGTGAGTTTTTTCTCTCTCTCTCAAATGGATAAATAAAATCTTAAAAAAAGTTCAACCCAGCTACTTTTTGAATTAGGAACTAGAAACAAAGAATTTCATTAATTATCAAGACTAGAAGGTTTAATATGCCCGCACAAAGATGTGCGGACAAATGGTCACACAGCATTACCCAGAACAGCCGAAAAGTAAAAAACCACCCAAATGTGCCGCAACGGGCAAATGGATAAACAAAATGTGACATAATCCATATAATGCAATACTATTTGGCCACACAAAGGAAAGAGATACTGATACATGCCACAGCACACATGAACTTCAAAAACGTGATACTGAAAGATGCCAACTGCAAACGATTTCATTTATGTCAAACGTCCAGAGAAGGCAAATCTAGAGAGAGAAAGATTACTGGTTGCCAGGGGCTGGGAGTGGGAATGAACTTTAAAAGGCATGAGGACCACACTGAGGTGACAGAAATGCTCTAAAACTGGATTATGGTGACAGTTACACAACTTGGTAAATTTACTAAACAGCATTGAATTGTACACCTAAAATAGTGAGTTTGATGGTGTGTAAATTATACCTCCATAAAGTTGTTTTAAAAGAATATGTTTATTTAAAAATCTTTAAAGTAATCTCTATGTCTAACGGTCTTAAAGTCATGACCCTGAAATCAAGAGTTGCACACTCTACCAACTGAGCCAGCCAGGTCCCCCGACCCATGTTTACTTTAAATTATATTATTGCCTTTTAAGAGAAAAGGGGGCATTTGGGGCAAAAGTGGCGGGGAGGGGAGAAAAGAAATAAAAGGGGATTATCAAGGTTTACAAAAGAAAAGAGAGGGACAAAGGGTCGCCAAAAATGTCCCGAGGCCATGTTTCAAAGGTGCATTTCACCATCATGGAGTGGGTGTGGGGCAGCTCTGCCTGTCCGGAAACCTTCCTCTGCCCGGTGCAGTCAGTGAGCAGAGTACTGGACCCTCCAGGCTTCGGGAGGCGCGCTGGGTGTGGGCGGCTTGTGTAATTTAGCCAAGGGAGTTTACACAGAAATTCAAGCTGGAGAAACAAATGGGTGCAAGAGAAAAACCTTTACACACAAATAGCATCATATGTTTGACTTTAAAAGGCTCAGGGAGTATCAGTACACGAAAAGCTGTCATTTTTATTACAGTCAAAGAAAAACAGATGGTGCCACGGAGAAAAATCACTATTGTAGAACCCCTATTCTTCTTAGCATTCTGGAACCCACTGCTCACCACTCTGGTTATTTCAAAGAAATACCCTTATCATGCTTTATGGTAAGTGTTCCTTCCTCTTCTTAATACCCTTTTCGTTTGTGAAGAGGGGAGATTTTGGTAAAATTTAAGAGCTGAGGGGTAGACTCTGTTCTTGGCAGAACTCTGAAGAGTATGTTTGTCTTAAGTCTGCTCTGGTTGCCGAAATAAAATGGAGACTGTGGAGACTGGCGGCTTAAACAACAGAAATGTGAGCACCAAGTTCTCACAGGGCAGGGACGATAGGGGAGAGCTCTCTGGGGGTCTCTTCTTCTAGGGACACCAGTCTCCTCATGAGGATCCCACCCTCATGACCTCATCTAAATCTAAGTACCTCCCACAGGCCCCATCCCCAAATACGGCAACACTACGGGGTAGGGCCTCAGCACATGAATTTGAGGGGGAGCACAATTCAGGCCATAGCAAAGTTCCCAACCAGGTGCTGACAAACTTTTTCTGTAAAAGACTAAGTAACAAATATCTCAGGCTTTGATGTCACATGTAGTCTTTGTCATGTATTCATCTTTGTTGTTTTATAATTTATACCCTTTAAAAATATAAAAACCATTACAAATTACAGGCTAGATTTGGCCCACAGGCCAACACCTGTTCTAGGTTCATTTTGACTGCCGCCTTCCCAACTTTCCCTTCCTATGACCTATTTATCTCTACAAAAGTCATTCTTCAGTCTTCTTTGGACAGACTGTGTGTGGGTGTCAGGGGAGGGGATCAATATATCTCTAACCAGTGGACACTATGAAAACACGAAGTACACATAAGCCCGTTTTTCATGTTATGCCATCTTACACCTCGGTAATCTCTTTTTTTCATCTGTGGTAAAATACATATAACATAAAACTTACTACTTTAACCATTTTAGATTATATAATTCAGTGGCATTAAGTACACTTACCATGTTGTATGACCATTGCCACTATCCATCCCAAGAACTTTTCATCATCCCAAACAGTGTACCCAATAAATATTAATCTCATTTCCCCCCTCTAGTCCCTGGTAACCACTAGTCTACTTTTTGCCTTTAAGAATTTGCTTATTCCAGGTACCTCATTTAAGGGGACTCATACAATATGTGTCCACCTGTGTATGGCTTATCTAACATAATAACTTCAAGTTTCATCCATGTTGTGGTATGTACCAGAATTTTTTCCTTTTTTTTTTTTTTAATTCTTTTTTTTAGAAAGGGAGAGAAAGAGAGAGTGAGTGAGCATGGGGTGGGGAGGGGCAGAGGGAGAGTGAGACTCTTGGGCAGGCACCACACCCAGCACAGAGGCCAACACAGGGCTCCATCTCATGATCCTAAGATCACGACTGAGTTAAAATCAAGAGTTGGTTGTTTAACCGACTGAGCCACCCAGAGGCCCCACAGAATTTCTTCCCTTTTAAAAGATGAATAATATTCCATTGTTTATGTACATTATACTTATTCATTCAATTGCTGGTGGACATTTGGGTTATTTCCACTTTTTGGCTACTGTGAATAATGTTGCTATGAACATGGGTGTACATCAGAGTACCTTGTTTTTTGTTCTTTTGGGCATGTACCTAGGAGTGGAACTGCTGGGTCATATGGTAATCCTGTATTTAACTTTTTGAGGAATTGCTAAACTTTCCACAGTGGCTACACCATTTTATATTCCCAGCAACAGTGCACAGGAGTTCCAATTCTCCCCATCTTTATCAACACTGGTCATTTATTTTCTTTCTTTCTTTCTTTCTTTCTTTCTTTCTTTCTTTCTTTCTTTCTTTCTCTCTCTCTCTCTCTCTTTCTTTCTTTCTTTTTTAAGTTACCGCAGTCATCCTAGTACGAAGTGGTATCTCACTGTGCCTTTGAAACAAGTCCTCAATGGTTATTGGTGTTGAGCATTTTTTCATCTGATTATTGGGTTACTTGTATATCTTCTCTTCATTAATGTCAAGTCAGGTCCTTGAACCGTTTTTAACTGCTTAAAAAAATAATCCTTTTTTAAAAAAGAATTTATCTATTTTTTTGAGAGACAGCATGAGCGGAGGTAAGGGGCAGAGGGAGAGGGACAAGCAGACTCCCTGCTGAGCAGGGATGCCAATGTGGGGCTCGATCTCATATCCTTAAGATCATGACCTAAGCTGAAGGCAGATGCTTAACCAGCTAAGCCACCCAGGCACCCCTGAATAATACCTTTTTAATAATTTTGGTGACAATAGCAGTAAAAATAATAATTATACTCAAAAGTTGAACTCCTAATGTATAGCAAGCATGTTTTTATTTACATATATTGCCTCATTAAATCTCCATTTTACAGAGGAGGCAAATGAGACTTACAGAAATTGAACCCAGGTCTGTGCCCCTAAACTCTGAAGAGTACACACACATATACACCCACACACACTACTGTTGTGGGGAGAACACCTCTCTTATGAAATGAAGAGAACTTTTCAAAGGAACCCATATATAGAGCTGAGAATAGATAAGGTGAATGTGAAAATTTCCTAATATCATGCAAGCTACTAAATTCTCCAAAAAATGTTGCTCACCTCTGAAGAGGAGACACTGAAGGAACTGAGTGGAATGGGCTCACTGAAAAGGACTGAGTAAAGTGTGAAAAATTCTAGATCACTGCTGTCCAGAGATACTTTGAATATTTCTATGAAAGGAACTCAGTCATGAATCAACTGACTTAAGACAGAAACCAACATAAGAACTTGAAACAAACCCTAACGAATTCCCTACAGTTAGTGTGAATCTTCTTCCCTGAGCCTTGCTTTGCTAATAATCTTCACTGCTTATTTTGTTTTAGCCCTGTTTTACTTCCTGGGTTTAACTTATTGCCAAGACCCCTAAAATCTCTCTCAAGAGTTTGTTTCTCTTTTCTATCTCTGCAGGAATAAAACTATAAAATATGATTTGAATTCAAAATGAAAACAAACTCATTAAAAGAAAGATAAAAAAGAAAATGAGAAAAAAGAAAGAATGGAATACCTTATGGGACAAGCCTCTGGTTTTCCAGAGAAGCAATCATCCCAATCATTTCAAGTTTGTCTCTGGATAGGCATTAAAATTCAGTTAAGAGTCGCTTTCTTTTCCCCTCAATGGAGGAGTCAGCATGGAGGCTGGGATAGGGAGTGACGTGGACATGAAGACCAGTGGGCCTGGAGGCCAAACAAATGGACAAAAGAGGGAAGGTTGAGGGGCTGCAGACAGGTGAACCAGAGGCTGGGCAACCAAGGATAGGGAGGTGAGGGAGAGATAAGAGGTGATGGGTAGAGGAGACGATGAGTGTGGTTGGGAAATCATTTACATGGGATGAGTGAGTACACTGAGCAAAGAAATCATTATGCTAAAAAGAAAAATGGGCTTCTTATTGTTGGAGAGGTATTTACAAACACGGAAGGAGGATGTGAGAAAGAACACTAAGGTGTTGGACTATAACTTGAGGAACCGGTATGAACTCATAATTAAACATACATACACACATATCCACACAGAGCTATATAAATACTTTTAGATGTACATGTATGTGCATATATATGCATGTATAATATGTGAGTGTGTGTGCACATGTATCTCCTAGCTTTCTTGACTGAGAGGACCTAGAAGCATTAACACGCCAGTAGCATAAAGCACCTCAGCCACCCAGATCTTGGTTCCTAAATACCATCTCCCACTAAAAAGAACCAGAGCTCCTTGGCAAAATGGCAAAATGGCGATTCCAGGAATGGGACTGGGGAAGTTTAAGGTAAGTCTGGAAATTTTTTTTTGTCAGAAAGTAGAGGGATGCTCAGTGAATGAGGGAGACAAATCTAAAGAGCAAGTGGAAAGGGTTCCCCCTGGCCAAATTGGACAATTTTAGCATCAAAGTAAATAACAGATTACAATCCACTGAATTGCATGGGAACTCATGAGTTCAAACTTATATAAATGAAATAAATAAATAAATAAATAAATAAATAAATGGGAGAAAAGGAAAGCTACTCCTTATAGTAGGAAGCTACCTAATATATATAAAGGAGGTAACAGAAATACAGGGGCCATCATCTAGTAACCACCACAGAGGTGGCTAACACAGGTGGGAGTCATGCCCACAAAATACTAACCAAGAAGGGGAAGACAGTGACTTTGAAGGTGGGGAAAGTTGGCAGACACCACCAGGAGCAGGTGATTGGGGTCAACATCACTGGGATAGGATAGGCTGTCATGGCACTGCCACCTCACGTGATGCTCTGAGAAGAGCACGGCACCGTTTCTGTAGTAACCTACGTGACTTGAACTGGTTACAGGGGAACACTAGATGGATGTGGGTTGAGGGTCTCCCTACAGAAATTAAGGCCTGTACTCCTTAAAACTGTCAAGGATTTAGAGACAGAACAAGACTATCAAGCTCTCCTCAACTGATGTGTCTTAATAGACCTGACAACTAAATGTAACATGTACGTAGCAGGAATAACATAGCAACATATTTCTTCCTTTTTCTGAGTATCCTAGCACAATCCTTAGCACAATACCTGGAGCACAGATACACTTAGTAAATGTTTGCCATCCCAGAATAGGAAAAAAAAAAAAAAGTGTTTGGGCAACTAGTGAACTCTGAATGGGCCCTGTAGACAAGGTGGCAGTATTGTGTCAAATGCTGGTTTCTTGACTGGGAGGTTATAGGAAGTCATCACCTCCATGGCAGGTGATGGAGGAGAATGTCTGCAACATGAACTTGAGTAACAGCAAGTACAGCTTGCTTTCAAGGTTCAGAAAAGGATGGATGATAATGGGTATATAAATATAGAAGAGAAGGTAATGGAACAAGTGCAGTAAAATGCCAGTAAGTGGGGAATCTGAGAGTTTTTGTACTTTTCTGGGGACATAATTAGGAGCAAATGCAACTATCACTTAGTTTCTAGACACACTGTTTCTGATATGAAGCCTCCGAATCTGCTGGAGAGGCAGGCTGTATAACCACAAAAAAGATACAAGAACAATTACAATAAAGCATATAAATCAGAGCACACTGACAGATGGTAACTTGTGAAGGAATAATAGATTTAATGCTGCCTCTCAATTGATATTATCTTAGATGGTAAATATGCTGAGGGCAGATCCACAAACTTGCTTTGAAGAGGGGTTAGCTTTAATTAAAAGGCAAAATCTAATTTTTAAGACTTATTTGAGAGAGAAAGAGTGTGTATGCATGTGTGCAGGGGGCAGGGGAGAGGGAGAGAGAAAATCTCAAGCAGACCCCTCGCTGAGCACAGAACACGACTCGAGGCTCAAGTTCATGACACTGAGATCATGACCTGAGCTGAAACCAGGAGTTGGGAGCTTAACTGACAGAACCACCCAGGCGACCCCAAAATCTAATTTCTCACAAATGCTTTAGATTAGTATAATAATGGTGATTAAGATAATGATAACTCCCATTTGCAGGGCTAATTATTCCTTAAGTATGATCAAAGTAATTATGTGTAAATTTTTACCAGCTAACTGAAACTATTTTAATAAGTATAAAAAAATTAATTTCTTTGTGAAAAGTCAATTATATCTGTTTTGAACCTCAGGACATGGAAAATAATTCAAAATAGCTGCACAGAACTTTGTCACTAAAATTTTTTAATAAGATTACATTGTACAGAATATGTAGCTAATATTTATTGAACACTTCCTAAGTACCACACACTGTTCTAAGCACTGTGTATATATTCCCAGAGTTCCCAGGACTACCCCGTGAAGAAAAACAACTAGGCCGGGGATACCGGAACAGCTGAGTGACCATGTGATCCTAGCAGCACCTTCCTCTGCCTTACCAGATGGCTATCCCACTCTATGGTACTGCTGTCTGCTCAGTTCTGCTCCTGGACTACGCTAGAAGCACTGTGAGGACGGGACCCATGATTTCCCTTCTCTCATGTATCCTAGTGCTTCATGCAATGGCTAAAGTGTAGAAGATACTGAATATTTGCTGAGTGATTAAGAATGAATGGCGACCCATCTGTAGTCCAAGCCTGCATGTTCTCTGGCTTGGCTGGAACAGCCTTGGGTGAGGAGGGCAGGAGAGAGTGAGGCCAAGGGTCACAGGGCTGTTGCCTGATTGATGACGTCAGCTGAGAACTTGGACTGGAGAATAGGACAGTTCTGACGATAATCCTGGTCTTTTCCATAATTTTATTAAGTTTTTGAACAAAAATAGAACTCATTTAGTTATCTACTTAAAGGGATTTTGTCCTTGATAAGAAAAAAATTGAAGTGTAATAAATATTGACATGTGGTGGTTTAAAAAAATAGTTTGAATCAGTATTAGCTTTATTCACATGACAATTCATGTGTAAAGTGTCCTTCATGCATAGCATTTATTAAAAATCCTTTATAGGGTATATAGTAAACAAACCAGAAAATACTATTTCTCTTCTATGGAAAACTTGAGTTACATTATAAAGAAATATTAATATTCTTTCCCATTTAAAGTAGAGAAAAATGTGCATCCACATAGGTTTTTTTAAACCTACAGTGACAAGGGGAACTGGTTAAGAAATTCTTTCCATTACAACACAACAACTAAGGACTCTTTTTGGTGTGCACGATGGCCTAGTCAAATAATTTTTGGCTTACCAAAACAACTCTTGGTCATGAAATCAACTTTTCTGAATATGCAATGAATAAGACGTAGAAGCATGCAGTCAACACACAATGCTCTCAATCAATGCTGTACTTACGGCAAGGTCAGACATGCAGATCTGAAAGCTAACATGTCCCCAAGAACCCAACTCTAATGCTACCATGTGGTCAGCCCATTTCCTAGAAGACATGACAGGAAGGTGGTAGTTTCCTTAACCAAGCTCTTCTCTAATCAGGACTGCTCTGGAAATCAGAGACCTTCAGACATCTGAGCTGCCTGTCCTGAGACAAGCTACTTTCCTCTCTGAGCCTCTGTTCCCTCATATAGAAACTGGGGAGGATCAGAAAAACATATAAAGTGCTTAGTGGAGTGCTAGTGATTTAATAAATAGCAGCTGTTATTATTCCACAATAAGAAAAATTCAATTCAACAAATATTTACTAAGTTCCAACTATCCATGCTAGCTGACTCTGAGTCCCTGGTGGTGCCTCTTTGGCTTCATTACCAAGACAATGTTTTGTTGTTGTTTTGCTTTTCATTGTTTGGTTCGGTGCTGCTTAAGAGATGCCATCCCTCTCTCTACTTGAAGGTTAATATGCTTCTACCATCTCTGGGATGTCTGAAGACCTCCAGGTGCTAGCTGGCTTTCCCAGCATTCTTCCTGAATTCTGTTTGATTCTCTCACCCCCAAGGAGCACGTTATTTCATGCAACTATTTTCTTTACCCCAACTCAAGCATGGAGGCTCATCAGAATGGAGTCACAGGCAGTCCCAACCCGGAACCTCTATGTCTAATCCAGTCTACAACCACAGCAGTAGGTTCCTGCGATCCCATGGGGAGGGCTGCGGCATACTCGCCCCACAGAGTCTGCCCCCAAACCTTTAAATGCAATGTGCCTACTCAACACTTTAGGGTCGGGGGAGAGGACCGATCACCGTCAGAAACCTAAAAAGACATTCAAAAGAACACAAGGTTGTTCATAGATATCGTGAAACGGCATGGTTCTTCGGGTTCTCTAACAGTCTAATGGTTGCAAAATCTTCAATAAGACAGAAAATAAAAATCAAGACTATGAACACCATCCCCTGGATTGTAGATGTTCTGTTCAGGCTTGTATGGTGCCTTAAAGATACTGGAGCCAGTTTTTAAAGCTGGGAGATTCCACATAAAAAAATAATTTCTACCTTTTCTTTAAAAATTCATACTATCGCTGGACCCACTTGGCAATCACTAGCTATAGCTGAAATGAGTACCTCTGTTCTTGTGAGACGTACACCCTCCAGCTGCTGGGTTCTTCTTGAACTTTCTCTTCAAACCCACCTGTAGGATAACCATCTGCTGCCAGCTCACAGCTTCTGCACAGGTCACAAAGTGCTACCCAAAGGTCACATTTTGAGAAGCTCGAGTTTTAAAAACTATACAGTATTACTTAAAAACTTGGTTAGCTTGATTAGCTTTTACAACATAATTTTGAGGCAATGACCTCAACAAGATTCCTTAAACCTGACCTAACAGTCCAGCACCAAATGCAGAACGCAGACGAGACGCACACTTTTCAAGTTTTTGGTTATTCTGGTAAATTTTTTGCCAGTGCAAAATAAGGTAAAAAAGAGAAGATGCCCCAACTCCTCTTGTTAAAAACAAACATTTATGGTGGCAATCTGAAGAAAACAAAAGTTAAGTCTTTAATGCACCAAGCCTGATAATTAGTTCTCCCCCAATCCCACTTCTAAAATGCAAAGCATACTCTCGGCATGCGCCCACACACAGCCGCACATGTACATCAAGTCACGTCTTACAAATTCCCGAAGTGCACCAGGGTTTTACTTCAGACTTGAAAAGGGGTCCTCTTTCTGGAAAATGCAGACAACTTAGTAATATGCTTTATTTTATTCATGATGCATCACAGCTTGTCATGAGAGGTGCCTGACTAGGGTTTCTGGAGATGAGTAACTATAAAACATTATTGAACCCTCTTCCCTGAAGAAACTAAAATACATTTTATCTATATTTCAGAGGAGCAGGGAGTTGCGGATGAGTTCTTCAGGCTGCCCCATCATTGTCGAGACTCCCAATGAGACCAGTTATTGCTGCATTCACCATGCAGGCCTGTTGTCAGAAGACTGTACATCTTGTCAATTTATATATTTTTAATTAAACTAGCTCATACTCCGTATTTGTGCTTAAAAATAAAGTTATACTGAAAAAGCTACATTATATAAAAGACTGATTTGGCAGAGGAGAAGGTAATTTAAGAGATAGTTCCTCCTCCCACGTATTGAAAGTTTTCAAATGAATATTAACCAATGCTTTAGAAATGCCACTCATTGTACTGTGGAACACACCTGTTTAAAAGCAATTTATAGGTAATAATTTTTAACTTTCCTTGACTTTGATGACATATTTTAGCAATGCTCACGATGCAAGTCAATCATCTCACTTTTACAGTGTGAAATGAGAATCTTCGAGCTCACTGGGATAATAATATTGACTGTACTTCTATGGCACCTTTTGCCTCAAAAAGGATAGAAAAGGCTTGTGAAATGCTTTTCAAAAAGGGCAAGCCCGGGACATGCTATCACGATGAATCTGTTGCTGCAGGGGCCAAGTTGCAGGCCTCTGACAGGTCGGGCCCACATGGCCTTCCACCTCACCAGCTAATCAACTGCTCTCTGTGCAACAGAGAATACCATCCACACTGTTTCCCACATCTGCAGGTAGGGTTTTTGTAACCATTTAAGCTTGTTAAAAAAAAAAAAAAAAAATTCTTGGGTCTAAAGAACACAGCATACCAATTATATTGTATAAATTTCTTTCGACTACTTTTTAAAAAAATCACACAGTTGGGGATACCTGGCTGGATCGGTCAGTGGAGTGTGTGACTCTCAATCTCAGGATTGTGAGTTCAAGCCCCACACAGGGTGTAGAGGCTACTTAAAAAAAAAAAAAAAAAAAAAAAGTAAAAAGATCACACAGTCATGCACATATGAGATCAAGTATATGAAAACCCAATTGGCTGAAATCAAGAGAATGGCAAAATAACATCACACTGAACATCTACAGCTACATTAATATGGCAACCTCCAGTAACATGCAGCTATTTCCAATTACATTACATGAAATTAAAATTTAGTTTTTCGGTCATAATAACCTTATTTCAAGGGTTCAATGTGTTCACATATAGCTAGTAGCTACTGTACTGAACGGTGCAGACAGGAACATTGCTACCATTGCAGAAAGTTCTACTAGACAGTGCTGGGGAAGAGCACATACCCCAAAGACAAATGTCGGTACCCAAAAGTTCCCTTATTTGGCTTTGAATAAACAGTCTTATATAAGCACCTTACAGCATTTCATTTTCAGACCATGGATGAGAACTGTTTTGAACACCAGAATTCACTTCCTGGTGACTGTCCCCTGACAATACAACTCAGTAGCACAGTTCTGTGACACAGAGCTTTGCTTCGCCAGGTGATTCTTTAATTCGAATTGATGCCATGTAACCAAGGCTGAAACCATGTAAGCTCCAGCCTGTAAATCTCATGGCCTTATTTGGGAAACTACTATTTCACACCCAAGGTATCCATCTTTTCCTTCCTTCATGCTCATTCCTTCTCCATGATAGTTTCCTAATGTCAAGAGTCAAGCATCCTTGTTAATCTCAGGACTGCAAGGAACCAGATTTGGCTCTAAACAGGCTTCCTTCGATTTGTAAATAGCAGCAATACATAGATTAAGATACTACCCGATAGTATAGAAATGTCTAATGCTTGAAGATGATGCATTCCAACAATAAGTTTCTTTGTCAGAAAATTTCACTATCAAAAAATAGGAGCAATGTAGGTGACCCCACCGATGCATCCAGGACATCAATTACAAGAGGGATGGGGACTTTAGCATAATATATAAAAAGACTAACTGAAGTGTAAAATGCACTAGAAAACCTAGTATCTGGAAGGTCTGGGGCAGAGGAAAAAGAAGAAGCCAACAGTGCTCAAGCCTGAAAGGACTGGGCATCTCCAGGGCAATGAGTCTGCAATGAGTCAGGCTGGGGCAGGTTTGGCCCCTGCTCCTCCTCCCTTGAGTGAGACTGCCACCCCCTCACCCCAA